AATCAATGATGCTCTATTCTTATGTTTGGATATGTATCTCTTATATTTCTTACTTTATTTATATTTTTTTCATTTTCTTTTTTTTCATTTGTTTATTGTTTTATTTTCTACATATTTCTATTAGCATGTTAGTATGTTATTTTCTTTATAATAGGTGCTGGAAAAATATACTTTTGTCCTATTTTTGCTCCCTGCTGGAGCTAAATGAGGCTCTTTTTCAATCCCTCTTCATAAAACTGTTTGTTCTTTTGGCAATATAGTATAGTCTAATCTGGTCAGTGGTTCTACTATCGGTGGTTGGCACGCGCCAATCATCAATCAGGTTGCGTAGCTTCACGTGTTGGAACGCATATGCGTTCCACCTTTTCATGCCTGCTTCCAGGTTTAGGGAGTTTAGGCGCATTGGCGGTTTGCGCATGCGCCTGGCATTGACGGGCCTACGTGGCGTGACGTATTTTAATACATGTGCATTCCACCTTGCACAGTACACTTCCGGGTTTGGGTATTTGAAACGCATAATGCGGTTCATGCCTGCGTTCCCTATTGAATGTATTTCTAACCAGTTTAAGTTACCTGATCTGTTTCCTTCATCTGCGAGTTCTGGTATTTCCATTTGACTACACGTCTAATGTATTTTAACTTTTTATTCACTTGCTACAGTTTATGACTCTGGATGGTGATATATATATACATTAACACTGACTTAAAGTTAAATTTTTGTCTGTTGGATTGCAACATGTCACTGCCAGATTGTTTATAATATTGGTTTTTGATACTCTTTTCTAGACCTGTTTGTTACATGGATGTGTACATGTCAGTACTTTTGGTTTCCTCGGTAGCCATAAACAGGTGTTTATGGTTGGGAGGATCCCAGTCATTATGGGTGGCCACTAGTGATGTCGCGAATTTTTCGCTAACGGTCCGCGAACCGTTCGCCACGGTTCGCGGCGAACCGTTCGCGGCGGACTCCAGTCAGCTGACACATCCCGGCCAATATGCAGCAGACCCTTCCTCTCAGACCCTCCCACCTCCTGGACAGCATCCATATTGAAGGCAGCTACAATATGGATGCTGTCCAGGAGGTGGAAGGGTCTGGGAGGGAGGGTCTGCTACATATTGGCCGGGATGTCAGCTGACTGGAGTCTGCCGCGAACCGTGGCGAACCGTTTGCGGACCATTCGCGAAAAATTTGCAACATCACTAGTGGCCACCCATTTACTTCAGGTGTCTTTAATTTATGTGTTCCTTTTTGGGTATATAAGAACAGGATTTAGTTTCTCTCAACAGGCTCCCTTGATAAAGGCAGTTTTGCTGAAATGTTGGGGGGTGTTTTGGTGATTGACTTTGTCCCTGCTTCCCACTAGGTTTGTTATGCTTAATATTTTTTATATGTATTTGTATTTGTAGGGTTTAATTATATTGGTATCTCATTTTTTTCTACCTATGATACTGACATTTATTTCTTTTCACACACTGCGTATTTGGCGTTTATATATATATATCCAGAATTGTTCTGGCTGTTGCTTTATAACATGACTTTATATCTTGGTTTTTCATGTAATGAGATATATCATTAGTGTGTACCCATTGAATAAAGATTTTCTTTTGTATATAAAGATTTATGGTTGTGCTCCTTACTCAATTTGTAGTTACATGTATTTGGGCTTTTGGGGACAGAGCCTTATATAAGTGAGCACCCTACATCCCACTATCATAGAGCTCAATTTGGGGCTAGCTTAAATGTAGCATTGGAGTGTGCCTACTTTGTTTAATTTGTTATTACCTACATTGTTAGTATCAGGAGCACATCTTGGTATTCCTGACACTATAGTGCTCCTTTAATATCAGAAGAGAATGGAATTTATAGCTATAATAGATACAGGGAAGGAAGAAACAGACAGAAATCTAAAATAAAAAAAAACGAAAATAAAATGGAGCACCATTATTTCTATATATGGCATGCACAAAAATACCTCTCAACACAATATGCAAAAATGATAAGCTTGCTTGTTCTGATTCAGAACTTCAGATGAAGTTGTATTAATTTTAAATATGAGTACAGATTCTGTTGGTTTTGATGCCTAAATAGTGAAAGTTGGGAGAGCTCGATAAGCTCAATGGGTTTATTTAAATTCTAAAAGCAGGTGGATGGACACACTGTCAAAAGTATACACAGTATACTATTGTTAATTTATAATTGTATTTTTTATGTCTACCATATGTGTAAGTGTATTTATTAATGTATATGTGTACCAATGATTTGTATGTGCTTCTCAGTATAAACTTGAAAACAATAAAAAAATCTCAATGTATCCTTTCTAGTATACTGTTTAATATATAAAATAGATGCTAACTTAAGTAACTTCTTCTGGTTCTTAAAGTTTGTACTCTTATGCCTTGTAGATATGTGCACCACTGAAATTTTCATTTCGTACTAATGATTTCATAATAAATAAAACTTTAATTCGGCAATCCCGAATTTCGTCCGCAAACCATTCGTTTTGGATGAAAACAGCACTAAGCATGCGCAAAAAAAAAGAAGCAAGGAGGAAGCCGGCAGTGCTACCAGCTCCCTCCTTGTAACATTAACCATTCAACCCCCCCCGCATGAACTTATGGGGGTCACTATAACCCCATATTAATAAAAGGGAGGTGGCTGCTCACTGTCATTTAAAAGTCGCTAGTGCAATAAGGGGGGACCTAGCACTGCTTATATCCCCCCATATGCCCCTATTAGCGGCATGTCGCCTAAACTAATTTACAATTACTAGTGACTGGGCAGCTATTGCTCCCCAGTTGCTAGTGCAATAAGGTCCCCCGTTCCCCCATGGTGGGGAACCAAAATAACTAAAATGGGGGGGAAATAGTGACCCCCCGCATCCCTACTGATGACCAGCAGGTGTGGGCTATTAATATAAACAGGGGATCTAGTGTCCCCCCCAGGTCCCCACCCATGAACGGCGGGTGGGGACCCTAATTAAATAAATAATGGGGGGAACCTAATGTGCCCCCCAGGTCCCCACCCATGATCGGGAGTGGGGACATTAAATATTTAAATAATGAAGGGGACCTAATGTACACCCTGGTCCCCACCCATGACCGGCGAGTGGAGACCACTCCTCCCCCCAATAAAAATACCCTACCTACCGCCCTCACCCTAATAATAGTGGGGGGGCAATAAACTAACCCCATTACGTCTTCTTTCTTCTTTTATTTTCTTTCTTCTGCTCTATAAAAGGCCAAATAAAAATCCATAATACATATCCCAACTGAAAAAAAACAAGAAAAAGAAATTGCACGAAAATAAAATACAGCAAAAAAAAAAAATCCAGACGGTAAAAAAAAACCCAGCAGAATGAGCTCCACATGGCAGGAAAAGGCTTATAAAGCCTTCCCACGCTCTGATTGGTTGGTTTAAGCCAACCAATCAGAGTGCTCTGACAGGTAAATGAAGAGACTGACAGGTTAGTTTCTACATTTACCTGCCATAGCACTCTGATTGGTTGACTTGGAATCCAACCAATCAGAGTGCCCTGTGTCATTTTACACAGTGTGGGAAAGTTCTTTGGAATTTTCACATGCTGTGCAATTTGACTCATCACCCTCTGATTGGTTGTTTTCTTTTTTGGCTGCTTGCCGTCATTTAAAACTCTATCTCTTCTATATAAATCAGAATCTTATATAAATGTGACAGAGAGCTATGGTAAGAGTACGTGTGAAAAGTAGCTATTTAGATCTAAATAGCTACTTTTTCATATTGCAACATTATTATAGTTTTTGCCATTACTATTGGTTACATGTACTCTTACCGTAGCTCTCTATCACTTCTATGTAAGATACTGATTTATATCTAGTTTTAAATGACATCGAGCATCGCGGGGAGGATTTAACCTGTGCCAGGTAGCTGCCCAGTCACTAGTAATTTTAAATTTGTTTAGGCAACATGCCCTTTGTTTAGGCGACATGGCATGCCGCGAGTAGGTGCATGCGGGGGGATATAAGCTATGCCAGGTCCCCCCTTATTTAACTAGTGACTGGGAAGCGATAGCTGTCCAGTCACTAGTAATTTTAAATTGGTTTAGGTGACATGGCCCCTACTCGTGGCATGCCGCGGTAAACCAGAATTTTCGTGCAAAATCGTGTTCGTACGAAAACAAATGCACATGTCTAATGCCTTGCATAGAGTAGCTCCTCTGTAGATAAGATAAGATAATCTGTATGGTAGCTACTAGAGACTTTAAACCTTTAATTAAAAACCAGGAGAACCTATTATCTGCCCTAAGCTTCCAGTCATTGGCGGTGTGTGGGGACTTTAAATTCTAATTGGGGGAGAACGATTATCACCCACAGACCCCCACTTATTGGTGGCTTAAGAGGGGGATTAATACTAAAATATACAATGGTGATGGACAAACTAGGTTCAATCCCCAAAACGTATGACTACTCCCTTGGGTAGCTAGTGATTGTCATGCCCCTACTATATCCTAGTTTATTTCAAAATTGAAAACTGCTGCAAATTGGGGTTTTTACCTTCTTTTGGATCAACAACAAAAACAGATGTGAGAGAGGCTAAAACTTAATGAATGCGTCTTTTTTCAGCCCATATAACTATGTATCTATAGTAGCCAGTAGCTCCCTCCTAGCACTTAAACAAATAAATTAGTGGACGAATTGTATTAACCAAATTTTATAAAACAAATAATTCAGTCTTTCTTTAAGTAATTGAATTCTGCATTTGACCATTCATATTTCGGAAGAATTGCCTGAAATCCTAGTGCACTTTACTTTTTGACCGTGGGCATGTAACTGTTATGTTTTAAGTTATTGTATTCATAAATATTGTATAGGAACATTGTTTAAAATTGATTTATGAAAAGAAAATGTAAGTTGTAAGTTATAAGTTGACAAAACCACTAAGACAAATGTCATTTTTATGGCTCTTCATTTGTGTAAGTTACTATTTTTTTTTTCTTCTCTTCTCTTTTTTTTTGTTCACAGGAGGAGATTTCAATTTGGAAAAAAATGATTTGAGATATCTGAAAATATTCATTCCACACTTCAGGACATTTTTCTTATGAATCTGAGAAAATAAGTATCAAGGAATTATTCAGTGTCCAATTATACTTTTATGTTAACATACTTGTTACTAATTATTTGGCTTATTTTGCAGAATATTTCAGAGTTGATATGCTTGAAAAAGACACAAAGGGGTTTTTATACAAACAGTGAATTTTGATGGATTAAAAGAGGTATTTGATTAAATTTAAATGGTAAGATCAGAATTATTGTAAAATACAATATTTGTGGCAAAATGAACTAAAATATCAAATACTGAGCTTATGACTGTTTGTAACGAATGCAATAACATTTATTGGCTTGCAAGCTTCTTGAAATGTCACAAGATTATAAATACAGTGTCTGTATGTTTATTAGAATTTCCACTTTCAGTAATTATTGGTTATACCAAGCATCTGTATATTATAAGGCATGGTAGACAATTAATCAATTAATTATGACCTGCACAAGTTGCAGTAGAATGTAGAGAAAGATAGAGGCACTACAATTTCCTCTACCATAGATCCCTGACAGAGAAATTAAAAGGACACTTTAATGCTAGGAAAACATTTCCCTCCCTCAAAATACAATGCTTTCCTATGGGGTTTTAGCTGACACTGAATGTCCTCATGCATAGCGTGAGGACATCCAGTGTCAGTTAGGTCACCTAACCACCTTTAAGTCACGCTATTGGCTGTCTGGTAGACAGCTACTAGAGGTGGAGTTTACCCTAGCAGGTAATTATTGCAGTTTGTTAAAAATTGCAGTAATTACCACTGCAGGGCTAAGAGACCTGGGACAATGCACCCACACAACTTCAATGCGCTAAAGTGGTCTGGATGCCCATAGTGTCACAGTAGGAAAAATAGCAAAGTGTAAAGTAAGGTTGACTAAATTTTGAAATGAATGGAAACATGAGTGTAATATATATGTTGTTAGGGGAGAAGAGGTTAAAGTAGCACATTCATTTTTCCTTCTATCATAATTATTTACTGAATAAACCCCCAAAATCTTTAGAACCTGAATAAATACCCATGTTTGCTATTTCTAAAAGAAAACATATTAAAATCCACAAAACAAAAACAACGTTTACCAGGTTTGACTCAATTGGAAATTCAATATTTCAAAGTCAAGGGAGTGCTGCACACAAGTAAATGTACGTAAAAGCTTTGTGGAGGGGGTCTGCCACCCAACAGAACAACTTGAAAGAGCACGAAGAGGACAAAGAAGATACAATGTTTTGCTATGATTAAGACTTCACGGCCAAAAATGTTGAATCTTTTTTGTCCTCTTTAAATCACAATACATATTAAGATTTGCCTTCACCCCTTGTTGTGACGCATGTGGACTTCTATTTTTAAGTGGGGAAAATAATCATTTGAGAGTATAAGTAAAAATAGTCATTAGTTAAGTATAAGTGAATATACACATCCTATGATGTTTTTTACTTGTTTGTCCAATGGCCTGTGCAGTCCAAGCAGTAATTATTATTATTATTATTATGCTGATTATTTTTTATTTACACTTTTATATACTGTAATAAAGATCTGTTTGCTAAATTTTCATTACACAAATTTGTCACTTTATATAAATGGTAATATATATTCATACTGCTTTGTAACTAAGTGTTGAGAACAGTGTACATTATTAAAGCTGTTTAAACCAGGAAAGAAATAGCATCTATTAATTCTTTTATATTCTCATCAAATTAAATGCTCTAATTATAACCTTCCCTTTCTTGATGATGTATCTAGATCTTCATTGTCACTCAAAGAAAATGTGTAGCACACTTATTTAGTCAGATCTCAAAAGAGCAATGTGTTTAAAATAATCACATCAATAAACGGTATTAATAAAATATCCCATCTTAGATAAAAAAAATATATGACTGTTGAAGGTGCGCCTCCACCTGTTCAGTGGACTAAAATCCTTAAATAAATAAGTAACTAATTGTATGAAAATTTTCATATCGGTTTTCATTTATTCTTTGTAGAGCAGAATTGGTAATTATCATACTGTAAAGTAACCTCTAAGCATCATATTATTCATTTTTGTTTTTATCAGAAAATCATTGGATTTTTTTCTACTCTTTATTAGTGTATTTTTTTCAAATATTTTTTATTAATACATTTTGTAATAACAAATATAACAATACAATGTAGAAATAATAGAAAAAAACAATAATAAAAACAAAACAGAGGAATACAAATGTAAGTTTATATCCAATCGTATGTCATAAGTTAATAGAAAAGAAAATGTGTATATGAATACACATTTTATATGCATAAAATCAAATGTTATGTATACCATTCTTTACACAGTGATTGAGGTAATGATAACTAAAATTTATATTTAATAGATGTCAGGTAAGGTGAGAGTCATTGTTACAGATTGTTCTCTTCCGACAACACTCATTCATGCATTAGAAGTAATATGAAGTGCTAGCTTACAATGTTTACTTTTGAAAACCGATAAAAGAACCTTACTCACAGATGAAATTTTAAGCAATTTCCAATGTCAGGGAATTGCTGTTGTAGATGATATCAGAAGGTGACCTAATATAATTATTTTAGAATAGAAGAATAAAATTAAATGTAAAAATACACACCTTTATATCTGCATATGGCTGTCTCCATCTTAGCTTTTTGCCAATTAAAAGGACTGTGGCAGACATCCCGAGAAATGAGGGGTTTCCACCGCCAGAGATGTAAAGCAGATATAGCTGTTTCCTACAATCACGAGATGAAGCTCTGTGTTGAGGGTGAAGTTGAACTGTTTTAAAGAAAGCCACAACTGGTCTTGTATGCAAGTCCCCATGAAAGGGGTTTCTGATCACATATTCCAGGGGCATTCCCCACTGGACCTGAGAGGGGACTACATTAAAAGTACATACTACTAGTACATACAGATAACGTCCCCTGGCTATGCAATCTAATAGTTTATCTACTCGGGGCATTGGGTAGGCATCTGTCATGGTCCTGTCATTCAGTTGCCGGTAGTCCATGCAGAACTGGATGGTTACATTTTTTTGGGTACAAGGACTACTAGTGAAGCCAATGGACTATCTGAGGGTTCAATGACTCCTAGTTTTAACATTTCCTGTATTTGGCAGGCGGGCATTCCCACCAGTGGAGTAAATGACCTCCATTTATTTAAATATACATAAGGATCAAGGAGAGAGTGCAGATAACTTTTTTCCTTTGGTTTTTACTATATGTATTCGAGCTGATGTGTACTATGGTCGTTGCTGCCGCCCAGGAGTGATGGGAGTGAGTGCAGGACTCTTCTTTTTGTATTTGTATTTCCTGTAATTGCTTAATACCACAGACCTTCCATAGCTGATGGGTAAGATCTGCTGTAAATTGCGTTCCCTGGTAAGAGAGGATTACATTAACTCTCAGGTCAAGGACATGCATAACAAAAACACCCCAAAATACACACTTAACAAGTAGGTACCCCCTCAAGTCCTATATCCTCAGGTAACCTGGATCTGAGCGTCCTACATATCCAGAAAGCACTCAGATCCCATGAACTCAGCTGAAACACCACCGGGGTATTGATTAGACTGAATGCACATGAGGCGTCTGCCCAAAAGAGTTCCATAGATTCATGCAGCGCGGTCAGTCTCTTTTGGGAATACAAAACACAATAAAATAACGAAAGTAACCATTCATAAATAAGATAGTTGTGTGCCCCTCATTCGGGAGTTTGTTTCTACAGAACACCGCTCTGCTTAGTTGAATAAAACCGAACATCCATGGGGGTGGAAGTTCCAGCGGTGTTCGCGCCGCCCGATTTTAGTTCCATACACTCGACGACCAAACACTGCTGTATGCATTTGCGAAACCAGGATGGAAGCCACCTTGTGTTTGTCCATATGAACAGTGGCCATCCAGTCGACCACTTAGAATGTTGATAATTGCGGTTTGCGAAAGTGTGAAGGAGGTCAGGTAGGTCAATGAGAGGCACACAACTGTACTTGGTGGTCTGTCAATTCGGTACATTGTTCAGTATACGAACCAAATGGGTCAATCTTTTTCTTGATGTTCGTATACCGGACCAGTCAATATAAAACAATAATTCAGGGACAAGGGGATCTGTCACAGTAGTCCCCTCATGTGGAACACTCTGGCAGAGCAGGCTTGATCCTTTTTGGGTTATCTTAGGGATGTCCAGAATTCTGCTAATTGCTTAGCTCTGTTTGTCAGGACAACTGGTCGGTGTTGTCATTCTGCTTACCGGGCCGGTAGTGGATAGTGAAATTGTAGCGACGAAGTACCAAACTTCACCGTAACAATCGACGATTGTCGCCTGCGACCTGGTTAAGCCACACCAATGTGTTGTGGTCAGTAATTAGTGTAAATTTCCATCCATATAGGTAAGGGGTCAGTATCTTTAAGGCCCACACAAAAGCCAGACACTCCTTTTCCACTGCCACGTAGCTCACCTCCCGGGGTAATAGCTTTCTACTGAGATACACAACAGGGTGCTCTCCTCCATCTTCTCAGACTTGGCCTTAAACTGCCCCCAGTCCGAACATGGAAGCGTCTGTATGGACAATAAAACATTTGTTAGGGACTGGGCAGCCAAGACAGGGGCATGTATTAATGCTTTCTTTAAGATTTGAAATGCAGCTTCACAGGTGGGAGACCACAGGACCTGCCTAGCAGCCTTTTCTTTGTCAAGTTCGTCAGGGGTTTGGCGATAGCACTTTAGTCAGGTAGGAACCGTCTATAATACCTTGTGGTCCCCAGAAAGGCCAATACTTGGGACTTGGTGTGGGGTGTGGGCCAGTAAGCGACCGCTTCAATCTTAGTAGGTTCTGGTCACTGTTTCCCACACCCCACCTGGTGTCCCAAATACTGGATGTGTCCCAAATACTGGATCTCTGCCAAGGTGGCATTTGTCTGGCTTCAGGGTTAGGCCAGTGGCCTGAATCTGATCCAGCCCTGTCCCTACATGAACTTAGTGTTCCTCCCAGGACTCACTGTAGATCGCAATGTCATTCAGGTACGCACAGGCAAAATCCTGGAAGCCATCGAGAAGCCTATCCACCAAGCCCTGAAAGGTAGCCGGGCGTTCTTCATCCCAAATGGCATGACCTTAAACTGGTACAAGCCAAACGGGGTAATAAACTTGGGGATAGCCTTCTCGGCCAGGGGAATTTGTTAGTAGCCCTTGCAGAGATCAATGGTGGTCAGATAACGTCCCCTGGCTATGCAATCTAATAGTTTATCTACTCGGGGCATTGGGTAGGCATCTGTCATGGTCCTGTCATTCAGTTGCCGGTAGTCCATGCAGAACTGGGTGGTTAAATTTTTTTGGGTACAAGGACTACTAGTGAAGCAAATGGACTATCTGAGCGTTCAATGACTCCTAGTTTTAACATTTCCTGTATTTGGCAGGCGGGCATTCCCTCCAGTGGAGTAAATGACCTCCATTTATTTAAATATACATAAGGATCAAGGAGAGAGTGCAGGTAACTTTTTTCCTTTGGTTTTTACTATATGTATTCGAGCTGATGTGTACTATGGTCGTTGCTGCCGCCCAGGAGTGATGAGAGTGAGTGCAGGACTCTTCTTTTTGTATTTGTATTTCCTGTAATTGCTTAATACCACAGACCTTACATAGCTGATGGGTAAGATCTGCTGTAAATTGCGTTCCCTGGTAAGAGAGGATTTCTTTTGGAAAACCTACTCTGGCAAAGATCCCAACCAGTGCATTGGCAACAGTGTCTGCCTAGATGTTTGAGAGAGCGACGGCTTAAAGTAGCGGATAGTGTAGTCCACTACGGTAAGTATATACTTCTTACTGGATGGACTGGGTCTCTGTAGGGGCCCTACCAGGTCGATTGCTACCGGCTGAAGGGTTCTTAAATAATGGATAATGGTGCAGTATGTAAAAACACCAAAACTGCACTGGAGGCTAAAATTAATTCACAAGATAGTAATTGATTGCAGGCATTTTAACTTTTTATCTGTTTATTTTAATACTTATCCTTTATGTCGCCTTTTATAATATTTTTATTATGTACTTTCAATGTATTAAAATTGTAGGTCCTGCTTTTTAGTAGAGCTAAAGCTTTGCCTTGTTTTTATTTTTCTTTCTATAATGAATTGTATCCCCCTTTTGCTGGCGGACTTACAAATCCAAAGGACTTCTGACTCGCAATTTGGAATGCATGGTACGTTCCACGTGATAACGGACGGTTTCCTCAGTGATACGCATTCTATAGAGACGTGGAATGCAACCAAAGAGAAGAGGGAACACAGGTTAATCGAACTACAGCATCACATTCCGATTGGTTGCAGGCATGACGGAATGGCACAAAATCACCTTTAAATTGAGAATGGAGGACATCAAGCTACACCTTCAATTTCCCTGATGAAGTCCGAACCAGGACGAAATGTGTAGGGTGTAGAGACTCATGCAGCACTTTTATTTATTAGCCTTTATACTGTTTTTTATTTATGTATGTTTTTTGGCTGCTTCACACTTTGTTCCTGACCCAAAGGGATCCTATCCAAGTTCGTGGACTCTTAGGGTTGATTTTGTGATAAGATGAATTTACATTTGGATCTTGTGAGTGCAATCTAAATAAATACTTATTGAGTTATTTTATTGGTGCACTATGTTTTTGTCTCTCTCTTAACCCTTTTAAGGTAAAAAAAAGAAGAAGATCAAGCTCCTTACATCTTTAATATTATTTATATGCCTGCAATCAATTACTATCTTTTTTTTTTTTTTTTTTTGGTAAAGAAAAGAAAAAAGTTTATTAACTACAGTGGTTATAGTACAGAATGTTAAAGCCAAAAAGATGCAAACACATACATTGGAATGACACTGATGTTACATTTGAAACTCAGGTTTACCAGATTCTGAAAAAAAGGTGTTTATCATCAGCTAGATGTGCTCACTGTATGCTCCATTATTTATATGCAAGACCGGGGCGACTGGAAGTGCAGTTGTCAGGCATTCTAACAAACTGGGCAGCCATTTGTTTTTCTGCACGACAAGGCAGCGTTACACAGGAGCAATCGGGAGAAAACAGGAAACAGCCAAGCACTCTGCACTGCAACACGCCACCTTAACAGCTAACCAGCATAACTCAACTGCTACACAACTGCGCCTAGTGCACAAAAATACACAAGAGAAGAGATTAGAGTTGTAGTCAAATAAAAACACTCCCTTGAAACAGTTACATGTACATACATATTTTGGGTTCAGATACTAAAATGTAGTTACATACAAGAAATTTAACATTTGTAAAAATAGGTCACTGGTTTAAACAATGCTTTGATGAGTAGTGTCCAAACACAAGCAACTACAGTTCAGTGAAGTATAGACATACCTTCTCAACCCTTTGGGTTTTAAACGATACAATTTATTAACAGAAACGTGTTACCTCAAATATCCAAGCCAATAATGAAATCTGTAGGCGTTCACTAAATTACAAAAAATTGGAATAACAGCAACAAAAAAATGGCACAAAATGTGAAGTCTGCCACATAGGGCTCAACTTAAACAGGCAAAATTAAACAGGGAGGAAAAACCAAAAATCATACAAATAACCACCTTTTCGGTAGCTGTTGCTTACTCCACGGATTGTTCCTTTAGACTGAAGGATTAAAGAACACCTCTGACTTCCTGCGTGGCTTTCTTTGTGAAGACACTTATCCTACGAAGACACTGCTCCCTCTTCTTCTGGAGACTTTGGGGGACTTGGAGATCTTGATCTGGACTTTGACTGCTTTGTCACAGGGGGTGTTGTCCTGGATCTTGAACGAGAACGAGACCGGGACCTAGAGACGGACGATGACTTGGACTTTGATCTCCGAGCAGAGCGAGACTTTGAACTGGAGCGTGTTCTAGACCTGGTTCGTGAGCGGGATTTTGACCTGCTGTAACGAGATCTGCTGCGTGATCGCGATCTGCTCTTGCTTCTAGAGCGGCTTCGACGTCTTCTTCGTGGGCTTCGACTCCTGCGGCCATAGTCCCCGAATCTCCGAGGTGGTGGGCCCCTGCGGCCGTGGTGGGAGTCTGGAGGGCGGCCGTACAGTGCCATCTGTACCCTCAGCTCTCTGCCGTACAGCACGGCCCCGTCCATGGCGTCCCTCGCGTCCTCGGCATCCCGCTTGTCGTGGAAACGGACGAAAGTGAAGCCGCGGCTCTCCTTGGTGTATCAGTCGCGAGGGATGTAGACATCGCCCACCCGCCCGTACTTCTCGAACACGCGGCGGAGAGTCTCGGGAGACGTTCGGTAAGTAAGGTTATCAACTTTAAGGGAGGTCATGCCTTCTACGTCTGGAGGAGGTCGACCGTAGCTCATCTCCGAGAGAATAAACTCAAGGGAACCCTGCCATACAATCATCAATTACTATCTTGTGAGTGCATTTTAGCCTCCAGTGCTGTCTTGGTGTTTTTACATACTGCACCATTATTTGTTATTTATATTTCTAGATTGTATTTCTGACATTTCTATTGAGAAGACCTAAGGGAGCTTTTTACAATCTGTTATATTATCAGGGTAATTTTTATTTTACATATTAGTACCCACCTTTGAGCATTGATAGCAGTCGGGCCTTTGGGTGTTCCCCTCTTTTCCCACCTGCTGACAGATGTTGCAAGTCCTGCAGTATTGTCGCACATCCCCAGAGACTCCCGGACAAAAGAAATTCTGGGTTACTCGATGAGATGTGCGATGTACTCCTAAGTGACCTGCTAAGAGTATATCGTGCCCAATCAGAAGAAGCTTCCACCGGTTCTTCCTGGGAACCACCAGTTGATGCTTCTGGGATGGGACTGCTCCTGTATTATGAGTCTCAGTTAACCGGTACAATCTATCCTGTTCCCAGAAAAACCTCTTTCCCTCTAGTTCCCCTTGCTCTGTTTCTGCCTTCTCCCGATATTTATGGAGGGACGGGTCTTCCCAGGTCTCCCTCCCAAACTCCTCTGGGGTGTCCCAGGTTAATGGGGTAAGGTCTACAGTCAAGTTTTGGTCGTTTCTTACCTAGGTATCCCTGGTCGGGGAGCTGGCTTCTGCATTTCTGGCCTGTAGGCGAGTAGTAACTGGGTTTGCTTCAGCAGGTTCACTGGGGTCATAAGCGGAGTTTAAGGGGCCTAAATCATTCCCCAATAAATGACAAATGACAGCTGACAAGTGATCCATAATCCCCAGGTTCATGATGCCAGACCCGGCTCCCCAATTAAGGTGAAAAACAGCTCCGTTTGTCCTGTGCGTTCCTTATCTCGCACCAAGTGTCGCTGTACAGGGTAGCTCCAGTGTCACGTAATCCCCGGGCCAACTGCCCATTTACTAGCTCTGCTTGTTGGTTTTGTTGGCGGTTGTCCTGGGTGGCTGCTTGTACAGGGTCAGCCCAGCCCAAATATTCCTTGGAGTTGGACTCAGCTTCCAAGCAGTGAGTGGCCAGGGTACGGCTGGAGCAGGTTGGGGTCCAGGTTGGGGCTGCCCCCACGTAGGTCTGGGGGGTTCCAGAGGGCAATTGCTGCGAACATGCCCCCACTTGTAGCAACAATGGCATCAGATCTTGGGCTGGCTCTGTTGAGACCTGAGTGGTCCCTGAAAGCGAGTGGGGCCTGTGGCAACTGGAGCCCAGAACTCTGGGTGAGGAGGGGGTCTTACGGTGGTATGTTCCATCCACCTAGGGTCCATGTACCTTGCTTCGGGCACGGACCCATTCCCGCAGTTCTGGTTGGAGTGCATTTAAGAAGTGCTCTAGGAGGAACAACTGTAGCACACACTCTCCCGATACAGCTTGGCATCCGGTGACCCAGTGGGAAGCCGTACGGTGTAGGCGGCATGCCCACTCAGTGTAAGAGTCCCCCCCTTTCTTTTTAGATTCCTGGAATTATCGGCGGTATGCCTCGGGGGTAACTGCATACTGGGCGAGTAAGGCTTTCTTAACTTCGTGATAGTGTTGTATCTCCTTGTCAGGTATAGTGTTGTGTCTCCTTGTCAGCGGCTCTACCAGACAACTTGCCAGATAGAATGGTGACCCACTCGTCCGTGGGTACTTTGTGTCTGTCAAAATCTGCGAGATAGCCATCTATTTCTCCCTCTGCTTCTTGAAACTGTTTGAATGTTGCAAAAGGCACCTTTTTCCATTCTGCAGGGGGTGGGGAGCGTAGTATTTGCCACAGCAGGGTTCTCTGCTCGCTGTATTTCTGTCAACCGCAGCTGGTAATCCCATTTCTCCCGGGCTTCGGCTTCAACAGCGCTGAACATTTGGTTGATAAGGTCCGTGGGAGGATTTGGCACATACAAGGCCAACCTCAACTAAACAGACCACAGTATTTGGGACAATTGGTTCGGCCATTGCAGCTGTCTGGTCTAATTCTGTTAATTCTGCAATTAATTCCAGTCGAGGTCGGTTGCTGGCTTTGTGACCACGGCTTTCCAATAACCCCTTTAAAGTCAATCTTTTCAGCTTTTCCTACTGATTCTCCATTCATTTATCATTTCCTCTGGGGAAGGACCATCCCACCGCTGCCATCAAACGGGGCGGCCACCCCAAGAGAAGAGGGGTTTTCGCCGCCAGAGATGTCCTTTCCCCCTAGCGTAAGTAATGCCGTAGTATTTCCAAGCAGTAATCCAAGCGGTAATAAAGCAGGTATAGCAGTTCCCTGCAAGGCTCTGTGTTGAGGGTGAAGTTGAACTGTTATAATGGAAGCCACAACTGGCCTCTCTGCAAGTCCCCATAAAAGGGGTTTCTGATTACATATTCCAGGGGCATTCCCCACTGGACCTGAGAGGGGACTACAGTAAAAGTACATACATAATTACAGTAATACATACAGTAATACATTACATACAGTAAAAGTACATACATTTACTCTCAGGTCTGGGACATGCATAAGAAAAACACCCCAAAATACACACTTAACAAGTAGGTACCCCCTCAAGTCCTATATCCCTGGGTAGCCTGGATCTGAGCGCCCAACATATCCAGAAAGCACTCAGAACCTACGAACGCAGCCGAAACGCCACCGGGGTATAATTTAGACTGACCGAACATGAGGCGCCTACCCAAAAGCGTTCCATAGATGCATGCTGCGTGGTCGGTCTCTTTCAGGAGTCCAAAACAAAATAAAATAACAAACTTAATCGTTTATAAATGAGTTAGTTGTGTGCCCCTCATTCGGGAGTTTGTTTCTACCGATCGCTGCTCTTCTTTGTTGAATAAAACCGAACATACATGGGGTGGAAGTTCGAGTGGTGTTCGCGCCGTCGAGTGTCTGATTTTAGTTCCATACACTCGACAATCAAACACCGCTGTATGCGTTCCTGAAACCAAGATGGCTGCCACCTTGTGTTTGTCCATACAAACGGTGGCCACCCAGCCGACCGTTTAGAATGTTGATAATAGCAGTTTGCGAAAGTGTGAAGTAGGTCAGGTAGGTCAATGAGAGGCACACGCCTTTTCTGGGTGGTCTGTCCATTCGGTACATTGTTCAGTATGCCAACCAAATGGGTCAACCTGTTCGGTGATGTTTTTATACTGGACCAGTCAATGTAAAAAAATAATTTAGGGGCAGGGGGATCTGTCACAGGGAACTTTGCACTTGACTATCAGCATAGAGAAAACACAGAGAGAAGTTTAGAAATGAAGTAATGTATTTCTGAGAATATGTAGTGATTATATTGCTGCCTAATGCCAACTCTAGTGGCTGTCATTTGCATTCTGCAAGGAGATAGCGAACACTACTCATAAAGATACAAGATGCATTTTGCCATAGAAAGCACTGGATTATCTGGGGTCATCAGCATTGATACTCTCAAATGCGAAAGAGTGACACAGATAGACAGGAATAACAGGGGATATAAGGTAAGTTGAATGTATTTAGTTATTTTTTGGGGGGGTCACTTCATCTACCTAGTGGAAGTAATTCTCTAACATTAGGAATACATCTTACAATAGTAGGGGAAAACCAAGTGATTATCAACTAAGTGAACTTGGTTTTGTCTCTTAGAGTTAGTAGTTAAATGCAGCAAAAAAATCCATTGTATCAGGCAACCTTTGTTACTACCATAATTCTCTTACAGCCATAATGCTGTCAAAGTATCAGGGAAAGATATAATATACAACATCTGGAGTATCAGATATTATCTACCCTTGCATTACATGCTTAAGCACAAAAAACATCTACAGAAGGCTGAAGAATAGAGCAGAATTTGGAAGAAGATTGATATTCACGTAAAACATTTGACGTTACGAGAGCTTTACTATAGCAAATAAGGGCTAATCCACACACACCTAGGTGTTTATGAAGTATGATCTCTTTTCTACCTCAGCTATTTTAATTGCACTTTCCTAAACACCATCCGACATCTTTTCCTAGTGGCAAGAAATTTATATTTACCAATGCTATAGACATATCCGCATGAATAACTGTACTAATTATATGCTTGGTACAGATTATAAGATTGGATGGAAGAAGTATTTATGGAAAACTATAATTAATTCCCTGGTATTTATGGAAAACTATAATTAATCATATGTACTTAAAGCTGACCATGTATCCACCATATGTGGAGATAACAAGTTTAAATTCAGGACCAAAAGAGTCAAACCACTCCAAATAATTTTGCTCAACATCAAGGAATTGCAGAGTGCCACTACATCATGTGGGGCAGATGAGTTGCACTCAGAATTTCAAAAGAACAACTTATATATAATTATTCATGAGGTAGAGGTGTGTGTTGTGTGTGTATTATTTTTTAGTTTGTGACAAGTAGTAATGTTAACTATGAACACTATTTCTTATTGCTTTTTCCGTTCCATTGCCAATTATGACTCATTTTCAACTTAACACATGGCTTCGTTCATTATTGAGACTTCTGTGCGCCCTGATAAAACACATTACATCAGAGATGAGCCACACTGTTCTGCAGCAAAAACAGTTATCTAAATGATTCAACAAAGGAACAGAAACTATAGAATTTACTCTTGTAATTCCAAGGAAAAAAAAAGAAAAAAAAAACACATTTACAAAATAAACATAATTAGAAATAACGTTGGCAAAACATCACCTCTTCTTATACATGGTAAATATACTGCTGTTAATGATCATATAGATTACATATTGAGTTTTGTATGCATACCGCATTGTAAGACATAAGAACTGTACTGTGCAATATTGACGTTGCATCTTTCACAGTGATATACAGTGTCACAAAATGTCCCCTCACCCTTCTCTTTCTTTCTTTCACGATACCTGTCCTTCGCGGCACCATGTGATTACAGAAATAAAGTATTAGTTCTGATGCACACACATTTATCCCTAACTTCCTGGTGCCTTATTATGACTTCATATATAATGTGGACCCCTCCCATTAGTGTCCTTTC